ATAATTATTAAGCATACATACTGCCAGAGTGACCGTGTATACTTCTCAGTTTTCGCCACTTTTCCACTTAATATAATATAAACCCAGGGCTGCAAACGCAAAAGGAAACGGTCTCTCCTTTGGGTTCGATTCGACAACTCTTGAACCCATATTTTGGTTAAAGCCATGGTTTGTCTTGTCATCAAAACTTTTCAAATCAATTACATTTTTATTATGATTTTGGTTTTTATAAGCTAATCGGATATTGGAATATAGGAAAACATCACATCATGTTCAACGAATGCCAATTGATTCAGACAAAACATATTGATGACTATTTAAATTGTTGTTTTTCTTATGTTGTAACGCATTTTGCACATTGCGACCAAATTTAATGGCTGCTGACACTGTTTGATCTTGCAAGGCCGTCCTACAACCCATCCTCTGGGCCCAACTGACCGCCTTTAACAACAGCAGCAACAATAACAATAACAATGGCCAGATCAGCTTTGTATTATGTGCTATTATTATTATGATGGTTATTATTATGGCTGCTGCTTTCGGCATTGCCTTTGCGTAGGCCCAACGACTGTGGCTGCAACTGGAGCTGGAACTGGACTTGGGCAGTCAACTGTAGCAGCCACGCCCACCAAGCTGCCCAAGAGTCAGTCAGACTACTGCGACGTGACCTTAGCGCATAAGCAAACTTTGGCAATTACTGATACAAACAAAAAAAAAAGAAAAAAAATTAGCATGTCGCATTGTTGTATTATTTTCATGACGGCTGCCAAAGTTGAAATCAAGTTTTTTTGGGGCCATTAAATGAAGGTTCATTGCCGGTGGCGCATTGTCAGTGAGTTATACTGGGCAACAATTCCTTATGCACTGAATCAACTGACAAAGAGGCTAGGAGTGCTATTGTCGGGAGTGCCCGACTAGGAGATACCCTTAACTTAGCGCCAAGCTGCGGTTACAAACATTCTAACTTCATTTTATACACAACCAAACAGCCGGATGTGCCACTTTTATAAGCCCCAAGCTTTGTATGTACATTTTTGACGAACTTCGGAGCTTATAGTCCGATCTTCATTGAATTTTAAATTCCCAAAGTAGAAGCCTTCTAATGTGACTTTATCAGATCTTCGAGTTATGTTGAAAAAGCATGCCTTAACATCGATATTTATAGCTATAATTTAAATGGGAAAAGATATAGAATCGCTAAATCAATTCGTCTCGTCGTCCCGATACAAGAATACACACTTTATGGACTCCTGCCTTCTGCCTGTTACATACCGTTGCACAAAACCCTCATGCCCCTTTCACTCATTTGTAATGGGCTCAGGGCATAATTCAATTGGGGTTTCGGTTCGAGAATCTTGCCTTCACACAGTGCAGAGTGTTTCTTTTAGATATACAGTATATTCGAAAGTAAGTGAAATCGGTAAAAGAACACGATTTATGCTTGTGCATAGACGTTTGAATTGTGCATAGTTTTTCTCAACTGTGTAGAAACTTGGCCAAGTATAATTGTCGCGGTGCTTTCAATAGTTGTGCATTAGTTAAATGGCATCTTTCCCAAGACTTCCCGTCAGATAATGCAGATAACATTAATCTGTTCGATTGGCAATTAGTTTGCCAATTAGGCATGCTCAAATGGCCAAAAACTTATTAACCGCTTGGTTATGAGCAATTTGCATCATTTTCCATGCCAATAAAATGCAAAATGCAATTTGCTATTAAGTGTGAAATTTGTGCCGTTTGGTCTGCTAATTAAAATCAAATGCAGTTTAATTGCAATGCGAGTGAAAAGTAGGCGGCGTTGGCGAAAATACAAAACTGAAGACCACAACAGAAAGTTGTGTGCCCCTGGCTGGCCGCATTGCGCATACGCAACGTTGAACACTGTGCAACAGACTGCAGCTCATTAATTGAGGAGGGCTGCCCCCAGCATATTGCGCATAAAATACGCATAAGAAATGCAGCAGGTATTCGGAAAATGTTGTGTAAATTAGCCAGAGCAAATTGTTGTTTGAATTTAACTGGCCATTGACTCATGCTGTAAAGCTGAGCTCATGCTCTTGAGTCATTGCCGGCTTGCGTTTTAGCAATTTAAAGTTTTCAATGTTTATTAATAGGCCGCTTAGGTAATTGCCAGCATTTGACATTCGAAACTTGTTTGCTAGCCGGTTGGCTAGAAGAGCTGCAAGCACTCTAAGAGCCCGCCCCTGCTCTCCATTGTGCTGGTCTTATGCACGATTCTTGTGCCGCTTGCTACAAAGTGACTGGCGTGCAATTTAGCTAATTATTCACTGTAATTATCGAATGCAGTTGCCGCTGTCGCTTTCAACACCCATCCAAGTCAGCAAGTTCTTCGTCATTCAGATGATGATCTTATAACGTGACGTTTCATTTTGAAAGCTTGTCAAATAATTAACAATCGTTTGCGATTCGTTTATCGTTACTTTTGGCAAGTAACTGACAACAACTATCGGTAATCATTGTACTAAATATCGATTGCTGCAACTACTCCCATTCCCACTAACACGCCCACCTCTGATCCGTGATGTTGTTAACTCAAGCATTTCTTTTGATTGTTGCGTTTTACCACAACTTTTAAACAGCATTAGACAACAGCATTTGCATAAATACTTATTTACCCCCTCATGCAGCACTTGTTGCATGCATGATGACTCAGCCGCAGGGTTGCATTTGTGTCAATTGCATTTAAACATTTCCTGCCAACAGGCGCTGTAAATTGTGCTGCACAAATATTTATAATTTTTCGCAAAACCAAATAAGCACATCGCACCACAGAAAAGTGGGTCATGTTACGTCGCATTTGAATACACACACAAACCTGTCTGTCTGTGTGTGTGAGATTGTGTCTGCGTGTGTGTGTGTGGCGTCAAAACAAATTACAACTCCCCGTTAGTTGATCATGCAATGCAATTAGCTACGACTGTGTACAAGAAATTCCAAAATACGTAATAAAATTAACTCGAAAACAAAACTGGCCAACAACTTAAACATATTTGCGGCTCATCTTTTATTGCGTATTTCATTTGATTTTTCTTTTAAACTATTTGAACTAACTCTTGCTTTGAATACGTCGCATGCGAACTCATTTCTGTGGCTGAGCTGATGCCAACTTCCGTTGTTGGCTGCCGCACAGTGGGACCGTTAGCCGTAAAACGTGGTGAAAATCGAAACGATCAATTTTATTTGAATAAATTTTAACTAATATCAAAACAGATATCGAAAATTGAATTTGAAGCACTCTGTGTGGAATATTTCCATTTAAGGCTCAAGGAGTTCTCTCTCAAACGCTTTTATGTGTTTTGTTCCCGTTCACTAGTTAAGAGTTTTGCCCCACTGTGCATCGTCACACAAAGCCCCATCATCAACACATTTCATTGAGCGTGAAATAGAAACAGAGAAAGTATGTACAATAATTTTTAATTTTTTTTCTTTATTTTCTTTCTCTCTCTCTCGCTTTGTTTTGTTTTGTTTTATTTAGCTGGCAACTGCCGGTGCAGTGGTTCGGCCGCTTGCTTGGCAGTTTTTATTTTGTTATTAAAGTTTTCCATTGTCTGACTGCAGTTTTCTTTCTGCTGCAATTGCAATTGTTTAGGCGCGAGCCGAGCGTCGCCCTCTTTGCCAACCCACAACAACAATTGCAGCAATTTTTGTGGTTTTTTCGTCTGTGTTGTTGTTATTGTTGTTGTTGTTTTTGGCGGCAACGCGTCGCATTTTATGCAAATTACCGGTAATTTTATTAAAGCTGTTTTCATTTACTGTTTTGTCGCTCCATTTTATTAGCGACGCAGATTATTTTTGGTTTTCTGCTGATAGTCAAACCGCGTTGACTTCTCATATTTATTGCAGTCTCTCGATTTTCTTAGCGCTACGTGCTCGCAGTGCATTTTCCGCATAAAGTTGGGCGATAAGGCTTTAACATCATTTCTCTTCATAATGAGATCGCAAACAATTATGAATGCACACAATATACATACATATATGTTTATGTGTTCTTTTACGCCTATTTTCTATGCCAATTGAAGGTTCAAATATTGATTAAACTTTGCAAGCAATTTTCAATGTCGCCGCAAACCTTGATCCAAAAACGCAGAGCCCTGCCTCCCTGCCCCCGCTCGCATCAATTACTTAGCGCACGGCAATTATGTAAATTATTATATGAATAATTGAATTTGAAATTGAAAATCGAAAGGTTTTTAGCTCAGACAGAAGCGGCCTCTCGCCCATCGATAAATGCATTGCATTATTAGAGATGGGGCCGTGTGCATTTGTTATCGCCTGAGCTCGCTTATCGCCCATCGCCTATCGGAGCTCCGCTTAAAGCAAATCGCCTTTTAAAGTGGATGCTTTGAGCTAATGACCAAATTGCTCAACCGTTTGGATTTGATGCGCCGCCAAGAAGTGAAAATTCAATTGCATTTTAATTTGAATGATGTGAATTTTGCGGTTGCCTTGTCTCTGACAATGGTGTCAAGAGACAAGGCGCTATTGTTAGGCGCGAGCTGAAGATTTTCCTGTGCACAGTGGTTCAAAAAGAGCTTGCACTTTTTGCAAAATATAAATGGTCTGTTTTCGAAAGTATCTTTGCTTAGTTGTCAGTTGCCAAGCGATTCAATTTATAAACATTTTACGGACTAGATTTACTCTCAAATTATAATTAACTTCTGTTTTAGGATGCCGTTCGGCAAGGTTTGTAGCTTTTTGCTTGCTGCAAAAAAACAAAAAAAAAATGAAGAGTTGAAAATGCAAATGTTAGCTGTACAATTACCTGTCGGGCTGTGTTAACCTTGCGGTTGCCTTTGTTGGTTGGTTTTTTTTTTTTTTCTGTGTACGTGCACATTGTTTGCTTTACTTACTTTCATTGTCTTGCTGGTTAGTTGCTGCAATTGCTGACGAGTCATAGAACAAATAATAAGAATAAGTTGTTTTTGTTTTTATCTTTGCCCATGTGCATTTAATTAACTTTCCATTTGGCTTGCTTACAGAAACTTGAACAGGAGAAGCATGTGCTGCGCCAGAAGCTGGCCATAGCGGAGGACGAGAGCGATCAGCGTGTGCTGGAGCTGCAATCAGATCTCAACGAGCTAAAGGACAAGCTGCAGACACAGGATGTGGCCATCAGGCAGGCGGAAAAGGAGAAGACCATACTCATCGACGAGCTGCAGCATCAGAATACACGCCTTACCGAACAGATACAGGATGCGCATGCCACCGAAATGAAGCTCAGCGCCCAGATACAGGAGCTCAAGGACCAATATCACTACAGGAATAGCAGTCTACAGGTAACACACATCAACATCTTTTATCCAATTGATTTGAACGTATTTCTTGGCAGGAGCACGTCAACAGCCTGGAGTCGATTAAAACCGAACTAAACCTCACCACGGGCAAGCGCCAGGAACTGGAGCGTCGTCTGCAGCACGCTCAGGAGGAAAAGGAGAGCCTTACCTCATCGCTGGAGGAAGCATCGGACAGAATTCATATGCTGGAGCGACATGCCCGCGAGCAGGAAACAAAATTAGAGGTGAGCTCACGTCCAGTTCATTTTCATTTTAATTTTAATTTTAAATTTAACGTAAGCGAAATCGTGATTTACAAATTGTCAGATTATTTATGACCGCTCCAAAGAACAAACTGCGCAGTTTCTCAAGTGCTCAACTTATCTTTCAATGACTTTCTTTTGCTGCACACTTTTTTCTTTCCTTTTGTGCCAGAGATAAGCAACAAGTTGTCATCTATAAATAATAAATGCTTTATCTGGGCCAAGTCTTAACTATTTGTTCCATCTTTACAGACCACCTTACAGGCATTGGAACGCTCTCAGCGTGAGAATAATGTACTCAGCGAACGTTTGGGCGCGGTAAGTTTCTCTCTGCTCTTAAGCTTAACTTACATTTTACATTTACAGCTTAAGCCCAGGTTCCTTGTCAAACTGTCTTTCTCTTTTTATACCCTGAACCCATTAAAAATGGGTATAAGGGTATATTGTATTTGTGCAAATTCAAAAAGTATATATATTCTTGATCAGCGCCAATAGCCTAGTCGATCTAGCCAGGTCCGTCTGTCTGTCCGTCCGTCCGTCCGTCCGTCCGTCCGTATGTAGGAACGCAAGGATCTCAGAACCTATAAGAGCTAGAGACTTGAAATTTTAGATGTAGGTGCTCCTAGTGCCCGCGCAGATCGATTTTGTTTCCGATAATCGATAACTTATTCCGTTTCCAAGCAATCGATAAAAATCGATATCGATATACTGTTTTTTGGGCAATTTTGGTAAATAATTAGAGCTAGAGTCACCAAACTTGGCATATAGCTTCTAAATTAGATTATATATATGCATTTGATGTTGGAAGAAGAGGGTTCAGGGTATCTCCTAGTCGGGAGCTCCCGACTAGAACCTCTTTTTTTTTTATAATTTTGGCCAAAGAAACGTAGCCTTAAAAGGGGGATCTCATATATATATATATATATATATATATATATATCCATAGACGTCTCTCCTCATATCATATAGCTGATATAGAAATGATCAGTGGTAAATTAAACTCTTCTATGAAAAACTTTTCTCTCAAGATATGAGACGACTTTATTATATAGATCTAAGAAAAGAATCTATCGATATAATGAGTTTATATGTGGGAATAGGAACAAAGCCATATGTATTCAATTTTCGGGCCTCTTTTCCCATTCGATCTAGTGGCCATTCCTACTGTTAGCATATTCACATTAAAATAACCCCAAGCTGAATTCGATTTAATGCAGGACGCCAACTCGAGTACGCCCGGCAAGAAGAGTCTGCAGTTCGAAATGGAATGCGATGAGGATGAGGCCAGCTTCACGGAATCGGGCAAGCCCAGTCAAATGTGGGTGGAGGCGCGTTCCGTGTATATACAGCTGAAGTCCCTGGTGGACTCGCTTAAAGTGAGCCATGATGATGACTCAGGTGAGTTGAGTGGATGGCATGGCATTGAATCTTTCAAATAAGACGCAAGCTCTACTTTTAATCGAAACAGGTCTCAATTCTGACATATCTCTGGATCTGGAGTCCATGGACAACACGATGTCCAGCACGGAGCGCAATGATAGCGACCATATCGCTATCGAATTCAGGCAGGGTATGCTGTCGGCCATGTCCGACGAGCTGACACGATTGCTGCTTAATTTGGATGCGGGCAACTTTAAGAAAATGCTGGACCAAACGCGTAATCTTGTTCTGGAGCAGGAGGATGAGATCAAGCGCAGCCATCAGCTGATACAACAACTGGAGGCCAAGGTCACGGTGACCGATGTGGAACTGCAAAATGTAAAGGAAGAGCGAGATCAGGCACGCGGCGATCTGGTTGACAACACCGATCGCGACGAGCTGCTAGCCAAGGCGCAGAAGGAGCGGGATGCGGCCAACGAGCGTCGCACCAAGGCCGAGGTGGAGCTGGCCAAGACACGCGTCGAGCTGATGCAGGCCAACAGCCAGCTGCTCGAGTCCATTCAGCAGAAGGTGGAGCTGTCCCAGCAGCTGGAGCAATGGCAAATGGACATGCAGGAGCTTATCGATGAGCAAATGCGCTCCAAGCTGATTAACAATCGTCGCAGCGCTGCCGCCGAGACGACAACAGCGGTGCCGAGCAGCGCAGCGGCCAATCTCGCCAAGCGTGTGTCCAGCTACAAGCTCTGGAGTTTATTTCAGCGTTAATTGGACAAATTTGACGCCGCGCTGGAAGATCTACGCAACTCTTATATTCGTAATGTAGCCGGGCAGAGCCGCGCTTTAAAATGAGCTATATATTTTTAATATTTATACACAAAAGAGAGCCTAGGCATATACATTTATATATATATATTTATGTATGTATTTGTTGTAATTTGTATGTATATTGAAACGATGCGACCTTCTTTGGTTTTGTAGTGAAATCTTTTAATTACGCTTTATTAATCTTAAAGACATGTATTAATTCTAATTGTACTCTCGTACCTATGTTTAAACAATATTTCTGTACACAAATGTTCTAAATGATTGCTATAGCCTCCCCCCCTCCCCCCAATCCCGCTCTCTCTTTCTGTTTAGTTAATCTTGTAATTTGTTGAAGATCTAATGCAAAATCAAAAAAATAAGAAACATATCGCCCGTATGGTTGAGCGTCTGGCGAGTGGCTTGAAGCCTTTTCCGGCTCAAAAACTTGTGTTTGCGATAACTGAAATCAAAATGTTATAAACCTATCTCTATTATTGTACTTAAGATAATTTAACTTTAAGCAAAGCATTTATGTTAAAACAAAATATATACATATGTATATATACGATATGTACGAGGCAGACAAAACGGAATTGTATGCGGACTTCGCGTTGGACAACTTGCCTTAAATACGGACAATGATACGGAAAGTTTAACATTTTAGATTGTTTAACTAAGTAACTTACCAATAAATCTATACAACACAACATAAAACTAAAATCTCGGCCCTTAGCCTTTATTTATTTGTGAAATACGTCTTCAAGCACATTTTGTAAGTCTTTGAAAATAGGCTTAAAGCTAATTAAATGAAAATCACAAGAGTATCTTTAAGTAGCAGATTTCTGCACTTGGTTAACTTAAATGCGCGCCTCATTGATACGACTATTGTGCCGCCACCTAGCGGCAGGTAGACTATCGGCCTTGTCAAAATATAAGAGTATCGATAGTTGGGCGCCAGTAGAAGTAAAATATCGAAACATTCGAAATTACATACGATTAATGTAAAAATAAAACTATTTATCTATTCAGGTTCACCAAATTGTTAGTCCTGTTTGATTGATTGACTGACTGAATGATTGGTGACCAACGCACAGATCAAACTTTTATTTATGCAATCAGCCTTTGGCCAATACTAAAGCAAAACTTCGTTCTCTTCATAATGTAAAGAGAAAAACGTATACCTAAAGAATACCAATTTTACTTCAACGATTACAATTTTATGATTAATATACATTTGTTAAGTCTGATTGCCCTTACAGACTGATTGGCGATCCACGCCATATGGGAAGCTGCATTTATTATGAAGTTTCCTTCTGAACGTGCGTCAAATATAGGTGCAAGATCGGCTTCACATCTTATGAAACAATTTACACTTTGACCAATTTGAATTTGAAGAGAGTTAACTAAAGATTACAACTCGCAATTTTGATACAAAAAGTTAAGAAAAAGTTGTCTGGGCAACGGGCACGGATCCAGCTAAAATCTTAGCGCAAATCGCGTCTGTGAACTCGGAGCATTTCGCTTGTCCGCCCAAATCACCAGTTAGGTGCTGGCCCTCCTTGATGGTATCGAGGGCGGCGCGCTCAATATTATCGGCGTGCGAGAGGAGGTTTAAGTGGCGCAACATCATGACCGCTGACAGCAGCAAGGCCGTGGGATTAGCCAGATCCTTGCCAGCAATATCGGGCGCGGTGCCGTGCACTGACTCGAACAAGGCACCATTTTGACCCATATTGGCCGACGGCGTCAGACCAAGACCACCGACCAGACCGGCGCACAAGTCAGACAGAATATCACCGTACAAATTGGGCATGACCAGCACATCGAATTTTTCCGGACTGTTTGCCATGCTGAGGCACACCGTGTCCAGGTAGCGCTCATCAAACTGAATCTTTGGGTAGTCCTGTGCAACGTCACGCACGCAACGAAGGAACAAACCGTCCGACATTCGCATAATGTTCGCCTTATGCACCACGGTCACCTTCTTGCGATTGTTGTTTTGGGCATATTTGAAAGCGTACTTTGCAATGCGGGTGGAGGCCTTTTCGGTGATCAGCTTAATGCTTTGGACAACGCCATCCACGACCACGTGCTCGATGCCAGAGTATTCGCCCTCGGTGTTCTCGCGAATGGTGACCACATCGACATCGTCGTAGAGTGTCTTGTATCCAGCCAGGCTGCGGCAGGGACGTACATTGGCATACAAATTTAACTCTTTGCGCAGAGCCAGGTTCAGCGATTGATGTCCCTTTCCCACTGGCGTCATTAGTGGACCCTTTAGGCCAATCTTGTTGGTGTTGACCGAATCGATGGCAGCCTGGGGTATACCGAACTTTCCATCGGGTCTTCGCACAGGCGTCACGTCGACAACATCCCATTCGATGGGCACCTCGGCAGCTGTGAAGATCTTTTGGACGGCTGCAGAAATTTCAGGACCAATTCCATCGCCGGGTATAAGAGTTACCTTTTTGTCGGCACACGAGTAGGGGCGTCTAATAGAGGGCCATGAAATGAGCGTATTGTGCATAAATCTACCAATCATTTCGTAGTTTTGAATTGAAAATCGTTGACTGCTCGCACCACCTATCGGAAAAGTAGCTAATCATTTGTGGCGCATTTGTTAAGGCAAAAACATCATATAAACTGTGATATGTCAAATATGTTAAGTGTATCGATATATTATAAAAGCTTATACTTGTTTATGCCGTTAATTTTAACAATTTAATGTAACATTCTAGTTGTATCAACATTTTCTTTTTTGCTGAAAATTGTGAATCAAAAGATCAAGTACTTATTGGCCCATTAGAATGATGCAAATCTCTGATTACTGAATACATCGATAGTCAAATGTTTGCAATGGAAACAGCAGCATATATGAGTGAGTTTGACATATCGTAATTAGGACATAAGCGATATGTAAGTCATCGATATATCGATACACATCTATATATTTTTAGTCATCCCTAAGTTTTTCGAAGAACAAAAAGAACGGCAGGACAAGGCAGCAGTTTCAATTTCATTCCTAATTTATAGTAAAAGTAGTAAGCAACCAGAAGAACACACGGCAAACAATGCCTTCGGCTGCTACCACATTCACCAACACCAACAACAATAGCAAGGAGAAACGCGCCTCGGTCAGCTCCATCGGTGCGAGCAGCAGCGTCGGCGGCGGCGGCGTGGGTGGTGGCGGCTGCAACAATGGCAACGCAAGCAACGGACAGCATAGCAGTAATACCAATCTCGTTGACTGTGCCAAGCCTGTTGTGGCAGCGGGAGCAGCACCCGGCAGCGGAAGTAGCCAAACTGATTTAACCAACAACAATAATGTCAATGCCAAAGTGCTGAAATTGTCGGCTGCCGCTGCGGCCGCAGCCGCCGAGCCGTACAATCCAATGAAGCAAATCCTGGTCACCATTGAGCATAAGATTCGCAATTTGGAGAAGCGTAAGGTAAGTGCATTATTGGTAAAAAAAATATCATTTAGAAGTTGGGATTTGCACTGCAGGCATTGCCCACCATTTTTTATTTTCCTTCGTCGCCCGCTTTGTTTCGTTTCGTACTTTTTTTTTTTTTATCGGTCGTGCTGTGTTTTCCCCCTTGTGCTCGCAGATTTTTCGCGACGCCATGTTTGCTATCTCACAGAGTTGCCAGACTAATTTTAATTGTGTTGCCCGCTTGTGCATGTGAACCGATTGTTTTTAAATAAATTGTGCATAAATTAAATATGCAAATTTAGTTTAAATTTAGATTGTCTTCTAAAAGTGAATTTGTGCGCGGATAATGTGCTAAAATGAGACATTTGTGAGGGCCAGTGCTCGATCTGGCAACCCTACTACCATGTGCCTCGGCATTTTTTTTTTTTAACAATTGTTTTCCTATTGGTTCCATTTTGCATTTGGTTGTTTGCTTTGACATTTCACCATGAAAATATGCGAATATGAGGCGAAACCAATGCTATTTTGTTCAGACCGTGACTCACGTTACACTTTTTGTCATGCACATAGACTAAATTGGAATCGTATCGCGCCATCCAAGCTGGCGGTAAGGAGCTGAGCGCCGACCAAGCAGCGGCCGTGGCTAAATACGACTCGGTTCTGGCAACTCTTGAATTCGCTCGAGACTTTTCCAAGCAAACGCAGTTGATGTTTAAGGAGGCCGAGAAGGAGCAGAAGAAGCAGGCACGCAAGGTAAGAAATTATAAAAAAAAAAAAAAAAAAAAACATCCTCTATAGTAATTAACATTTACTATTCAATGTGCAGGACAACCAAGCTAAAACTCTGGCCGAGAATGCTAAGATTCGTGATCTCCTGGTCATCCAAAACGTTCTCACCTGCTTTAACGATGAGCAGGTGCGTAATGATTTCTTGGCCGGAGACAATGGAGCCTGCAAACTGGAGATTAGCGATTTGGATGCGCTCGACAAGTTGTAAGTGTCTCAAGACAAACAAACAAATATGCCAAGAGTTAGATATTGTATCATTTTTGAATACTCATAAACTATAATAAGGCCTTTATTTTGACCTGAATCCCGTAACGAATAGGAGACATTACAACCCATAAATGTGTATGTTTTTGAGGACAAGAACAATATCCAAGCTGTTAGAGCCATGTCCGTATGTCCGTTTTAAGCTATACTTAAAAATATTGGCACCGGAGAGTCTGGTATATGACCACGGCATCATATAACTGCAACAGAAACTAGGACTAGATGCTCAATTATGTTAAAAAATAGCTAATTGCTAGGCTCAATTCACTCCCCTTATTTAAGACTTTTATATCACATAAGAGAAAATTAGGTTATTGGACGAAAACATAGTTAAATCCTAAAATAGCTGAGCACGCCCATTATCTTGTATTCTCAGTTAACAGAGAGTATGACAATATTTAAAAGGGGTGTGCTTTTTATTTTGTGAAACGTTGAAACTGAGGATCATTACAAATCGATGGTACATTTGAATATATGTTCTGTAATATAGCTGCATGGAGGTGCAAACGCGCCGCCCGGAGACTGCGGAGGACATCAGCTTTTTGGCGACGGCTCAAAAGGCAGCCGAGCTCTTTGCCATGACCATCAATGCTCGGGCCAAGCCGTTCGGTGAGATGACATTCGAGAAACTGCGTGCGCTCTTCCAACAGATTCAGGATAGCGGCTATTTGGACAAGTATTATTTGATTCCTATGACGGATTTGACTGTGCAGGGCAACTACGTGGACAGCGGCGCTGTTAGTGGTGAGGGCGAGACGCTGCTTAACGATGTGGGTGCCATTGCAGCTGACCAGGAGGCGCTTATATCGGAGCCATCGGCGCATAACTCACTGGAAGAGGGTCTAGACAAGCTGGCCACTGCCGAGGCGGGCACTGCGCTGCCTGAACTGCATCAGCCGGAACGTGCTCATCTAATGCTTGAGCCGCAGCATCAACGAGCGCCCGTTGTCGATCAGCAGCAGCAGCAGCAACAGCAGCAGATGCTGGTGCAGCAGCAGCAACAGCAGGCGGGCGTTTATAATGCTGCTCCAGCGACTGCAGCAGCAGGCAACACAACGCCTGTCCACGTGATGTATGCATCAGCGCCGCCACAGGCAACGCATGTGCCGCCTCCGGCTCAGCATCCGCATCAACTGCTAAGTAGCCCCGTGAATCTCCAGGCCTTGCACGGCGTGCCACAGTCGCAGCCGCCCCAGGCGGGCGTTGCCGCTGCGTCAACGGTGCCTCCACAACAACAGCAGCAACAACAACAGCAGCAACAACAACAACAGCCGCAGCAGCCACCGCCGCAGCAGCACTTTGGTCCCACCACAGTGCGCGCTGTAGAGCATAATTACTTCAAGCAGCCGCCGCTGCAGCCACCGCAGCCAGCTGCAGCTCTACAGGCACCCACACCCCAGCAGCAACAGCAGTTTATGCAGCAGCTGCGCCCGCTGGCCGAGGTGCTGGGCACCGGCAGTTTCCACTTTCTGCAGGACAGCGAATTGGATACACCGGATGCTTTGCCGCAACAGCAGCAGCAGGCACCACCGCCGCAGCAGTTACCGGTGCAGGGCCTAGTCTTTGAGCAGCAGCAGCAGCAAAATCATGTGGATGAACCGCAGACTATTACAACGCTGACATTTACCAATCAGTCCTTCCCGTCCTTGCAGCAGCCACAGCAGCCGCCACCGCAGCCACCACCACCACAGCAGCAGCAGCAACAACAACTTTTCTCGCCTGTGCTGATACACGAACAGCAGCGCCAGCAGCAGCAGCCGATGCTAATTATGACACGTTTGCCGCCACAGCAGCAACAGCAGCAGCCGCCGCCGCAGCAGCAGCAGCAGCAGCAGCAACCACCCCCCCAGAGTATTGGCATGCAGCCGGGCGATGTGACTGCCGTGTTTCCCTATGACGCAGCTGTGGTCAGCTATGAGCAGCAACTGCAGCAGCAGCTGGGACTCAAGCCACAACAGCAAAAGCAACAGCTGGAGGAGCCTCAACCCCAGCAGCATCCGCTGCAGCAACCGCAACCACAACAATCGCAGCAGCAGCCTGTCAGTGATGTGGACGCCAATGAATGGCATGGACGCGGTGGCGTCAATGATACCAATGCAGCTGCCACAGCTGCGTTGACCAATGTTCTCAAGACGCAATCCTCGGCTCTAGCAGAGCAGACAACGCCTACGTCGACAACCAACAAATGGAGCAGCGAAATGAATGCCATGAGCAGCGCTGCCTCAAATGGCAGCAATAGCAGCAACAGCAACAAGCAGGAGTGGGCCACGCCCCGCGACAATAGCAGCGGCCGTGGTGGCTATGTCAATGAGAACGACAGCGGCAACAACCACTGGAACTCCTCGCAGCAGGACAACGGCAATCCGATGCGTCGCAATTCTGGTAACTATCAGCAGCGGCGCAATGGCGGCGGAGGTGGCGACGATCGTGGACGCAATGGCGGCGGCAACTATCGCACACGACAATATGGCAATTCCTCAGCCCAGCAGAATGGACGCAACAGTGGCGTCTATTTCCGTAACAATGAGTCAAGTGGAGGCGGCGGCGGCGGCGGCAGCGGTGGTGGTGGCGGCGGCGGCGGCAACAACTACTACCAGAATGGTGGCGGCGGTGGAGGTGGGGTCTACAATAAGGAGTCGCGCTATGACTCCTCAGGCGGCGGCGGCTCCTATCGAGGACAGCGTGGAGGCAATCAGCGCAACGGCAATGGATCCTTTGGACGGCCGATGGGCGATCGCGGGCGCAACACCGGCGGTGGTGGGCCGGGCAACGCTAGCGGTGGCTACATAAATCAGCGCCAATCACAACAGCAACGCATGCCGCTCGGCTTGGAGAATAAAAACTAGGCAGTGAAAAGCGTCTAAAAGCGACGGCGCAGCTGTTTGGCCGTGGCACATGTATTAAATGGAAAGCTCCTCACCTACACTCACCACACCACACAGCACACCACACATAACGCAATACGCATCATCGGTACACACACACACACACACACTTACGCATACAAGCAGCGTTGCCACGTTGACGTTCAATTTACCGTTAGTCAGCAACGTAAACTGATCCCAAAAAATAGAAACAAAAAGAAAACAAAAAACTGCGCGTTTTTTTTTTTTTTTATAAATACAATCAAATGTTTCTATATAATTATGATTTATTTAATTATTAATTAATAAAAACAAAACAACAACCTAGTTTTTAGAACACTTATAAAAGCAAACACTCAAACTAAACAATACAAGCATACAGGAAAGTTCAAAAACAAACACACACACATGCATCGGGTTTCTAAAACCCAATAGCAAGAAGAAGAAACAAAAGTAAAATATTAACAAATGCAGAGAATAAGTGCAAGTGCATGGGCACTGGACAAACAGCTGCTAATTGAATGCGAACAGAAGAATTAGGAGAAAGGAGCTTGGAAAAGTACGTAATACTTTTCAAGTTAATAAATTGATGGAAACAGAAAATAATAGTATTTATACGTCTTAGTAATTAAATAACAATTTTGAAACATACAAATTATATTTAATGAATTAATATAATACATTGCGAATGGATGATGAACATATGAAAAGAAAACGCAACTTATGTAATTTACTATAAACAAATATATTTATAGTTTGTGCTCTTACTACCATTATTTGTTTACAAATGTATTTTGTTTTTTTCTACAAATCAAGAAGCGCGCGTATTTAATAAACATATACACTATGTATGTAGTGCTGTATATTAAACAAAACAAAAAATGCAGAAACTCTATGCCCCACTTATGTGCATTAAAAATGAAAAACAAAAATGATGTATTTATATATGCAAATTAGTGACATTAAACGAAACTTATATAAGTAACAAAAGTTATTCATTAACGGAAAAATGCAATTTTCAATAGAAGTTCAATTACATTCTTCAGACCCATTAGTGCAGTCTCGTAGGTGCTAATTTTCCTTAACAATTTCGGAAGACTAATTTTAAAATGCCTAGATATGTTTATGTTTGGCTACAGTTCTTTGTCCGACCGACGCTCTTCTCGAGTCCGTTGTATCGCATAGGAACCACAAACCGGCTAATATAAGAGTTATGCCCACGCCGGACAGCGCAGTCAGCGGTTCCCGGTAAACGATCGTACCTAGAATGAACTTAAAGAGGCGCAACTTATAGAAGTGCATCAAATAATAAATGAATTCATTAGACAATCAGACGTACTGATAACACGTAGTTGGAGGCGGCTGTTAAGACAGTTGCCGTTAATGTCTGTTGGGTCATTTGCAAGGCCTTCAGAAAGTAGCGTAAATTGCACACATTACAGCAGAGCATTAAACCAAGCGGCAGCAGCTGGACCAACGCAAATTCTAAGCAAGTTGCCAGTTAACATTTATCTATAAAATGTCTTTGAAATACTTACCTACATACGCAAAGCCGGCGACTGAGTTCATTGCATTTGGCTGCAGCAGGCTCAGTGCATCGAGAAAACTGGGCAATTTGCCAAAGAAGCTGCCGCCGGCAGCGCATGCGCCAGCCAAAAAGCTATAGCGGTACTTTCTGAGAGCATTCATCCTAGCTTATTTTACTGTTTATCAGCTGTGGCGTTGCCAACTGCATCAATCAGCTGCTTACTAAATATCAATATCGATTGTACTAATGCATCTCATATGTAACATATCGATTGCACTCTGCAGCTGTCATTCGAATATGTGTTGGAATGAAAGCTTATTTTTAAGAGAATGTCATATTTTCAATCGATATATCGATAATTTACAGTCAAGTTCAAATTTGCATTTAGTCGATTACCACTAACCAAACATTAAAGGGTACGTCAAACTGCAAAATAAGCGAATCAAGAATATTTGATGTGAGTGAGCCTCATGAGTGCTTGCGACCATTTGTTTATGCCCAGACTGCTGAGAGTGACAACCGAATATTATGATATATATATTATTATCTTAAAGGCATTTGTCATGTTTTTACAATTCCTTTTCTGAACCCAAGTTGGTGTTCGGGTATGTCGGCAAGATCGTCCAGCACAGGTAACATTCCTTTTAATAGTATTTTTTCAATAAAGGAGTTTGTCTGCATATCGAATTCTATTTCATTTGAATTTGTTTGATATGCGTGTTTTTTTGTACCAATCTGTTGTGTATTTTTGTTGAGATTACAGCATCGGAATTTATTATAGAGTAAATTATAAAACAATTTTAACCTTTTTTACAATAAATGCTGTACATATTTGTTCTCTATTTTATTTTCCATTGAGTGTGGGGCGTTTAAGCATTTTGACTGTATTCAAGGAGTTGTAACCTTCCCAAAATATGGCATCACGTTTGTGCACCTGATGATCATAGTATTTGCCATTTAAATTGCTAAAAATCAATCAATATAAAAATAAGTTGCATATAAATTGCTTTGACAAAGTTGAGGCGATCAATACCTGGCTGAACATGCACAGTTGCCAGAATACCATGCTGAATTTTTGGCAAGAATTAATATTATTAATTAATATTTTGCACTGCCCTCAGTTTTTCCCAAAGTGAACAAGGTGTATTGATCCTCCTCGCCAGTAATGGCAAATTGATCGTATCTTCTGTATTTAATGTCACCATCGAATCCTTCCATATGTATGTGAAGCCCCATGGGGCTGGGCGCGCGTAAAGCGGTGAATCCTCTCCAGACCGAGGAAGAAGTCACCATCAAAATCCCCGAAGCCTCCACGGTATGTGTTCCAATTCCTGTAGAAATCCTCTTTACCGTTGATCCGCTGCTGGATAACCGTCCATCCAGGACCTGCTGTCGCACTATCACATAGTACATCGAACGAATCTTCTAGATCCGGTTTCATCTCATGAATACCCGGAGCATCAGCAAAGTCGGTGCATTCACCGTAAACGGGCTTCAAATGTTGATTTCGTTTTTGAGCTCGGGTATTTGTTGGGCCTGTTGATCAATTGACTTCTTTTGTTTCTCCAGCTGCTCTTCATAGTCCTGAGTTTTCAAGGCATTGGAATTGGGTATACTTATTTGCTCGTTTATGGACAAAACGTGGCTCGCTAGCTCTTTGATACTCTGTTTGTAGAATTCATTCTGAGCTCTCAGTTCCTCGATCACCAAATCATTACGTTGGTTCAGCTTTTCCTGCAGTTGCTTGATTTCTCTGTCTTTGCCTTCAATTTTATTGTTATTGTTTTCGATTTCTTCCTTAACAAAGGACTCACAGCCTTATAAATTTACTTTCCGCACTGCTCCTCTGTTGTTCAAGAAAGTACGATTATTTACTGCACTTCCGTCGGTCCGTCCGTCCGTCCGTATGTATGAACGCGAGGATCTTAGAACCTATGAGAGCTAGAGACTGAAATTTTAGATGTAGGTCCTCCTAGTGCCTGCGCAGATCGAGTTTGTTTCCGATCGATAAAAATCAATATCGACATCCTGTCTTTTGAGCAAATTGGGTAAATATTAAGAGCTAGAGTCACCAAAAGTGATATGTTGCTTCTAGAATATTATATATATGTCAACTGACTTTTTGAGAATACACAAATATTCTATGCTACAATAAGGTATACTGTAGAAAATATCATTAAGATCGGTTAACAGAAAACCAAAGTTATAAGTACCTGTGCAATTGGATGGGCAGCTAGCGAAAACATCAACGCAACAACTGCATTTGGTGTTGGAATAAGAGGGTTCAGGGTATTCCCTAGTCGGGAGCTCCCGACTAGAACCTCTTACTTGTTTAGTTTTAAAAGGCAGTCTGAGCCGGATGACAATCAACAAAGTTTTATATCCGGAAGCCGACTTCGCCTTAAGGCCCACTGTGTTGCCTATTGTTAAAAATTCCGCTTCCTATTGAGTTAGTTAGTTATAAGATAAGCAACTTTATACACATTGCCTCCTTACAATTGGTTTTTACTACGCATAGATATCTTTACATAGTTAACATACATCAGCTGAACATAGAAATCAAAAACATTCAAGATGTAGCTCTGCAATCATAGGAGATTTATTTGGATATATAAATACATGGCGTGATTGTAATGCTTCATTGCGAAGCAAATGTTAGAGTCCAGAAGATTACACCAAATCGGCAGTTAATATATATAGCATGCATGTACATATACCTGGCATTGAAATAATTGAAACAAAATTTAGTTTGCATTTGTTAGATTTGTTTCTGGAAATGTAACTAAAAACTAGAAATGAGCAGAAAAGTTGCGCTAATGTATTAAACATAGCGCTACATAAGCTAGAAATCAAATTTGTACTAACTTAAATTAGTAGCTATACCATATTACATTTGGGCTGGGCGGGCACATAAACTAAATCAGCTAGTTACTTAGCATTAAGTCGCTTAAGACGCTTGAGAGAAATGAGGAAAGCTTCAGGTGCCCTCAAACTGCATATTGTTTAATCGTTTAGCCCTTCTTGAAATCAAGTATGTCGGCCAATGCTGCCATATGTCAATCAATATGTCAATATGCCAATGCACCATATGTCATATGTCGTCACGCGTGCAGCGGCCACAACAGTCTGCCGATGGCCGGTTCTCACATTCTCCCAGCGCTGGTGGCTTAAAGTTAGGCGTCCAGGGGCCCAGGCTGCCGCTGGCATAGAAGTCCATAGGATAAGCATTATCTGGCGTCCACTCAATGTCGCCCAGCACCACGGATAGCTCATACGGATTCAGCAGTGGCTGCTCAAAGGCTGAGCCACAATTAATGGACAGGCGCAGGCGGGCAATCTGCACGTAGGCATCAATGCAATCAGCAAACAGTGCCAGCTTCTGTGGAAAGATCTCAGACAGCAAAATGGGGATGGTCGCAATGCCCTTGGCATGTAGACACTTCTCCAGAAGTCGATGGACACGAGCGCTGCCCTGTCGACCAAGTGTGCCTAGTGTGATGCCGCAAGCCTTGCATGGCTTTGTGCTCATAATGCTCCACGGTGAACTTCTTCTCGTACGGGTCGTACTTGTAGGCCTGCAAAGGGATAGAGTTAATAAAGTTTACAATGCAAGGCAGCTGCGTTGTGCTTACCTTCAGCAGCGGGTTACAATTCGATGGCACTGCTCAATAGTTCCGTGTCCGTGTCCTCTTCTGAACCTAAATTGGTGCTCGGGTATGACGGCAAGATCGTCCAGCACGGATAACATTCTTTTTAAAAATATTTTTTCAAATACTTTGGAGTACGTAGCTAGGAGATGGAACGCAATAATTAATAAAACTTTTACATTTGGTATAGCTATTTTTCCACCTGTCCAACTTATCAGCTTGAATCTCTAAAACCTGGAAAAGACCTTTAGATTGGTTTCTCTAGCCAACAGTCTACTGAGAGGCAACTTCAAGGACTCCATTGATTTTATTTGCATCCAACTTTATATAGAAGTAAAAAATGGATTTTGTTATAATATCGAATTCTAAGATATTTCATTTAAATTTATTTGATATAGGTTGATTTTAATATATTTGTACCAGTTGTTGTGGATTTTTGTTGAGAATACAGCGTCTGCATGTATTTATAAAAAAATTGTACAACAATTTAAGTTTTTTTTACAATAAATACTATACATATTAGTTTTTTTATTTTATTTTCCATTGCTTATGGGGCGTATAAGCATTTTGACTGTCTTCAAGTTGGTGAGCCCTTTCCAATATATGGCATCATAATTGAACACCTGATGATCATAGTATTTGCCATTTAAATTGCTACAAAAATAAAAATAAAACATTATTTAAATTATTTGCATATAAATTGTTTTGATAAAGCTGTGGCGATCAATACCTGTATGTACATGCACCGTACCACCAACCACCACCACGATTGTCTCGGCTTGCGCAGTGGACAGACTCCCAATTGTCATTGTCACGATCGAATGTGCTGAATTTCTTATCTTTATGGTATTCCAACTGATCACCTGCTGCACTCCCGTTAGATTTACCCAAGGTGATCAAGGTGTACTGGTCCTCCTCACCGGAAATGGCAAATTGATCGTATCTTCTGTATTTGGTGTTACCATCAAATTCTTCCATATGTATGTAGAGCTCATGAGGCTGGACGCGCGTCAAGCGATGAATCTTTTCAAGTCCTAAGAAAAAGTCACCATCAAAGGCCCCGAAGCCTTCACGGTATGTGGCCCAGTCCCTATAGAAATCCTCTTTACCGTTGATTCGCTGCTGGATAACCGTCCATCCAGGACCTGCTGTCGCACTATCACATAGTACATCGAACGAATCTTCTAGATCCGGTTTCATCTCATGAATACCCGGAGCATCAGCAAAGTCGGTGCATTCACCGTAAACGGGCTTCTCTTCGCATCTTTTTAATTTCTTGGCACAAATGTTGATTTCGTTTTTGAGCTCGGGTATTTGTTGGGCCTGTTGATCAATTGACTTCTTTTGTTTCTCCAGCTGCTCTTCATAGTCCTGAGTTTTCAAGGCATTGGAATTGGGTATACTTATTTGCTCGTTTATGGACAAAACGTGGCTCGCTAGCTCTTTGATACTCTGTTTGTAGAATTCATTCTGAGCTCTCAGTTCCTCGATCACCAAATCATTACGTTGGTTCAGCTTTTCCTGCAGTTGCTTGATTTCTCTGTCTTTGCCTTCAATTTTATTATTATTGTTTTCGATTTCTTCCTTCATCTGATGTATGTCTTTTAACAAAGGACTCACAGCCTTATAGAAGTACTTTCCGCACTGCTCCTCTGTTATTGTGGTTGCCTTACAAGAAAGTACGATTAATGAATGAACTTCACGCAAACTTCAATTAAATAAGCTGGTTTATACCTCATTTTCGCTAGCCTGTGTTTCGCCTAGGATGAACATTAGGCATAAGTATAGCATATATGAAAATAAAACAGATTTCATTTTGTTCAAGCTGCGAATGTGGAACCGAAAATCAACACGCACAATAATTGACTGAAAAATGTGAATTAGTTGAAAGCTCTCGAGCAGCTGAGCAACTGATAAGCGATAAGCAGTGGGTCAAGAGCTTAAAGATTAAAGTGAAAGTAAGAATACCCTCGACACGCTTATGATTTAATACGCTTGCATTTGCCCAGGGTTCTGCTGATATGTGAGAATAGTGAAGCCCGTAAATGCTGAGTTTGATAAAAATATTTTGGAAAACAGCATATTTTGCTCGATCCTATGGAAGCTGTATAATAAAGTGGTGCGATGTTGATCAGATTTTGTATATATATTAACAGCTATATGATATAGTTATCCGATGCTGATAAGATTTGGCATATATACGAGGAGCATAGTGGAACTAACAATTCCTGAGTTTGGTCAAGTTATCTTAATAAAAATAAGCTTTCTATAAAAGAACCCAAATTTCGACCGATTGTTCTATCTTTAAAACTGAGAAAGGAGTAGGTTATGAAACAGACAGACGATCAGACGGACATCAACTCGTCTGTTGTTACACATTTTATGATAAAGTTATAAAATCCTCTGCAAGGGTATAAAATATAAGGCACCAAAATCTAGCTTTTAAGTGAGCTTCATTCAACAGCTGAAAGATTGCAAATAACACAGTTCTAGAGTTGTAGCTTTATCTCGTGACAAGTTCATTTCTATATATAAAACTGTTTCAAGATTCTCACCAGCCACTATATATATATACATATATACTTATTTGTTTAATAAATATATCTTGTATGCTGTTCTGGGACATAAAATGTTATGCTAGTGAAATACGACTTTATTATAAGGTAATATAGTACATGTCCGTCTGTCTGTCCGTCCGTATGTATGAACGCAAGGATATTAGAACATATAAGATCTAGAGACTTGAAATTTGAGCTGTAGGCCCTCCTAGTGCCTGCGCAGATCGAGTTTGTTTCCGATAGTCGATAGCTTACTCCGTTTCCAAGTAATCGATAAAATTCGATATCAAAATTTAGTTTTTTGAGCAACTTAGGTAAATAATAGAAGCTAGAGCCACCAAATTGATATGTTGCTTCTAGAATATTATGTATTTGTCATTTTATACCTATCCCAACTCCTCGCTACCACTGCAGAGTTATAAATCAAGTTAATAACCCAACTTATATTGCCCACCAATTAAGCCACAATTTTAATGCACAAATATATAGTACCATAAGATATAATGTAGAAAATTCACATTAAGACCGGTTAAGAAAAAAACAAATTCCAAGAATTCCTGTATACATGTCATACACCCATTCGAATTCTATTAACAGCATTGTAATTGCGATTGTTTTCTGTGCTGCTATTTTAATTCGTTTTTTTCTCAAAAATGTTTCGTTTTTGGTGTGGCTGTTGAGTGGAGGCATAGTAAGTGGTGCGGTCTGTCGCGAGTTCGAGCCCTACCTGGGAAAGAATTTTTTTTTTTTTTGGCTTGTGTGGCTGTTGAGTAGAGTCGGCAGCAAGTATTGCGGTCAGCTGCGAGTTCGAACCCTGCCAAGGGAACTTTTTTTTTTTAATTTATCATTATTACTTCAAACGAGCGCGTTGCGCGAACTGCATTTGGTGTTGGAATAAAAGGGTTCAGGGTATTCCCTTCCGACTAGAACCTCTTACTTGTTTAATTTTGAATAATAAGCCAGAATGCAACATGCTATCAGACGCATGTTTCACATCGAAGAACACGCCTGCGCAATCCTCTTCGGTCTCAAAGGCAATTGTGATGTTTTCTACAATTTGAGGGCATTGCTTAAAAGTTCTGTGTCCTCTTCTGAACCCAAATTGGTGTTCGGGTATGGCGGCAAGATCGTCCAACACAGATAACATCATATTTAGTAGACGATGGTACGATGATGTACAATATTCTGGCTTATTTGGTTTGAGCAACATAATAACCTCAGCACATTTCCATTCGTTAGAGAAGTAATCCAGAGCAATCTGATGCATTCTGAAGGTAGTTTTTTAATAGTATACCCGTCCATTTTATCATACCCAGGCGATTTTTTAGGATTTATGCACGTTATATACTTCTGAGATTGTGATCTGACTTATTGGCAAAATCATCTTTTAGGGAGTATCAAACAAATTGGCTTACATCCCCCACTGTTTCAGCACCATACTCTGTATTTGGGTGAAAGACTGAGTGCAAGTGCCATTACTGTCGACTATTATAGTATTTCTTCTCTTGCTTACCAGAGGCTATATGCAGGATCACTTGTAAATGGGTTGACCATTTTAAGATAGTTTGCTGTCGCTTCATCTTTGATAGCTCGTAGCTATCTGTTTAAATCTTTGGTCGCCATAATGAATTTCACTTTGTCATCAGATCGTTCATTGCTAGTGGTTTGTAAGGGGATCCTAATCTTTACATAAATGTCTGTGTTTTAAAAAAAAAAACTGCTTTGATCAGTTTGAAATCTTTGTAATTGTGGCAATCGCTTTTGCGCGTCATAAATCTGATGTTTACTTCAGTCGTCAGCAATTTCGCTTGGCGCAATTTTCAGAAAGTTAAACAATTTTTGACGCACTATCTAATTGTGCTGCTAGCTATATAATATTATTTAGCTACCGATCGTCCCGATCGGTCGAAACTTAAAAAAAGTTCGGTATCCGAGTTCTACGATGCTCCTCGAAAATTTGTTTTTGTGGAGAACGGCCTTTTTTTCCAACAAATAACCAAATTCGCCAATTCTGGGCTCTAAATATCTTTTCACATGTATGCAATATCGTAATCTATTTGTCTGCAAGGGAATTCAGTATTCGTGCTGCGGAAGGTATCCGCTCTTTCTTGTTTTCTTAAATGTAATTTGTATTCAAAAATCGATTATACCATGCAGCTACTAAGCAAGATTTTCTATTTTAATTATAAATAATATATACACAATTTACTGTCATATTGACGCAAGCTTATCTGGCTATTTTTATACCCTGAACCCATTAAAAATGGGTATAAGGGTATATTGTATTTGTGCAAAATCCAAATGTATGTAACAGGCAGAAGGAAGTATCTCCGACCCGATAAAGTATATATATTCTTGATCAGCATCAATAGCCGAGTCGATCTAGCCATGTCCGTCTGTCTGTCCGTCCGTCCGTCCGTCCGTATGTCCGTATGTATGAACGCAAGGATCTCAGAACCTATCCCTTAGTTGCGAGCTCCCGACTATAACCTCTTACTAGTTTAATTATATATCTTAACGTTCAAGAACGTCACCTTTCGCAGAGAATGTCATATTTTCAATCGATATATCGATATCTAATACTAAAAAGAGTTTTATTTTTTCTATTGTTGAGAGTTGAGTTGAGAGTTTTTTAAAAATATATACGTTTTTTATATTGAATAAAGTCTAAATTTATTATCTTTTATAAATTTATTTACTATCACTAATATAGTGAGGTAAATATAATTTTTATGCATTTACACTACAGATAATCTTTATCGCGAGCACTCAGCTGTGAGTCAGTGTGAATAAAAAAGCTGGCGTGTTAAAAATGAGTCTAGAGCTTATTTTGTTGTGTGTATTATGTTATGTACTATACTTAGTATTTTTTAATTTTACGAAAGATCGTGGTAAATTAAAAGACGAGCTTGAATGGCGCAGAGAAAATGAACAAAAGGTGCGCCGAATATTGTATTGTATTGTATATATTGTAGCGTTGATTGTAAACAAAAAACCAATTCAATATTGCAGTTGAGGGATGATATCAGAAAGGAAGAAGTGAAACTAAGCTTTCTTAAATATCATAAGCAAATGGAGGAAAAACAACAACAGCTTGCGTTGGAGATCGCACGCAAAGATCAGCAAATTCATAATTTGGAAAAAAAAATGGAAGAGAAAGGATTTTGGAGTTCTTGCAAATCAACTTTGAGTAAATATAAAAATATGATATCCTTAAATCGTGCAACGCACGCAACCGACGCCAGCAGCACTCCTCAAGCTAGCCAACAATAGAACCCTACAGGATAATCACAATGCAGACAAGGAGCTAGGAGCAAGGATCTACATTGACTCAGTATACTTTCCAATCTCTTTGGCTGACCTTTGAGCGGCTAGCATCTGTTGAATTCTTCGTTCGTACCTATTAGTATGTACATGGTATATGCAATAAAGATTTAATGGCTTGTGCTTTTCCTGAAATTTAGTTGGTGCCCTGCGCAGCCAATAAACAAATAAGAAATGAAATCGAGTAAAGCAACACAATACAGGATCAATTATGTATGATCTTGTACACATTTTTTGGTTACTCGGAAATTCGATCGTACACCGAGTTGTGGCAAAGCTTATTTTGTGAGCAATAAGTTTTATTTTGTAGTAATCTAATCGGACATGCCAACTCTTTGAAATGAGTCACAGATCCTAGAGACTGGCATAATTTCAAATCGATATAAATGATCAAATGGCTTTTCAATTCTGATACATTAATTCTTATCACACAGTTGATTCCGTACGTTTTTTATTGATTGTTATCGGTATAAGCCCATTGAAAACCGTCCTAGGATGATATTAGTTTTTTTTATTAAAAAACGACAGCGTTACCAAAACAGCGTAATTAAATTTGAAGACTTTTCCAGAGAATGTCATAGCTGGAAATCGATAGATCGATAACACTTATATACCTGATTAATTTAAATATTTTGTCGTAAGCTTAGTAAGTTGAAGCAGTAAATAAAAAAAGTTTTTAATGCTTTTCTCAAATTTAAATAATAAAAATTACTTCTTTTCGGGCATCTTAATTTTAATAAAAGTGTGTTTTAAGTTTTAATGGTATAATTTTAGATGTGACCTACAGATAACATTATCATTGCATACGCCAGAGTGAGTCAGTTGTCGTGCTTCGAAATGCTTGAAAACTTGGGACTTTTGATTACTACTGGAATATGTTTCATTATTTATTTAATGTTCCAATATTTTACGGAAGAGCGTAATAAGCTATTAGCAAATTTAGAAAATGCCCGAATAGCTGAACAGTTGGTAAGTGCAGTTCCTTATTACTGTAAATAATGAAGTTGAAAACATATATTTATTATTGTAGATAAAGGACGAAATTAAAGATTTAAAAATTAAGGCCTGCGAAGAAAAAATAAACGTCTTGGAGAATAAAGTGTCGACTCTTAATGAGGAAGTTAAATGTAATAAGGAGCAACTTGCAATCGAGTGCAAGAAGAACGCGAAAGAAGAAAGTTCGTGTTCAATATCTTGATTCGTTAAGGTCAATATGCGACTAATCCTAAATATGAATAATTACAACATTTAGTTTTGTTATAAAGTGAGTTTTAGCCGGGTTAACTGCTACCTTAAATTAATATATATGATTTGGCTAATTGAACATAGCAGTCTTATCACTTCCGCTGGCATTAGTCATAGCCGCTCAGGCAGCCATTATATTTTCAAATTGAATTCAATAATTTTGTGTAAAATTTATTCAAACGTATAAATTTTTACTGATAATAACTGTCGATTAACAAGTTTTATTGGCTAATATTCATGGCGGAGGTATCCGAACTGACATCGGCTATGTGAAAAGAAGCATCCTCGGCGGGCATGTCATCCTCATCGGTGTATAAACGTCGCAAACGCTCCTTATATCTGCAATTGACATGAATATTTCTGTAGACATGAAGTGTGTAAGATGCAGATAATGTTACTTACAGTTCGCTGTCGGGATTGTTATTTTGATTGCGACACTTGTCTAATTTTTTTTCAATGGCCTTAACTTTTTCGCGATCAGGCGGCTGATAGTTTTTGACCAGCATACGTATTTCTGTAAAGTATGGATGGTTTTATAGGTGCGTACACGCGCATATCAACAATACTCACTGCGCACTGCATCAATTAGACCCGGGAGCTTCTCTCGCGCAGACACAAAGAGTAAGTCTGTGACATAACTATCTAGATTCTCCTGCTCCTTACTGGCCGCATGCAGCACTGCAGCCAGGCCAATTTGCGAAGGAGTGTGCAGCAGGCAGGCGTCCGTGAAGAACGTTGAATCGATGAAACTATCTATTTGCGGACGCAAACGATCTGGATTTTGCATATTGCTGCGAGTCTGTAAGTTATTTTAATGAAGGTGTGAGTCAAAATTAAGTTAACAGATTAACAGAATCAGTTTCATGCCTTGATATCTATTAGAAAACCCTCAATCGGGCGGAACGGATTGTGTATTGTGAGGTAATAGTTTAGTTGGCCAATTAACAGTAGCTCATTCGAGAGGACAATGTCGGTGGCTTTATTGCGATCGCCTTTTATATTGTTTACAAACTGGTTGATTGATACATTAAATTCCTCCACCTTGCAGGCAACAAACACACATGTAGCTCTATAAACGAAATGAATTTGTTATTCTTTATACATGCGTATACAAATGTCAATCTCACAATATTTCCTTGGGATGATAGTCCATGGGCGTATTGTTTAAGTAAAAACGCTTGAAGTAATGAAATGCAGTTCCAATTACGCATTTTGGCATTGGCGGATCAAAACGTCGGCAAAAGTCAACCAAATAAATTTCATACTGTTTCAGCAGCAGTCGCTCCTCAGCCGGCGTCAGAAAGAAGTTTTCGAGGCTGCCCGACGATGGTGCTTCAGTCTCATGTTCTTCTATGTACTTGGTGTTTTGCTCCACCCGGAATGCTTGCAACTGACCCTCGTTTGCGAAAGTCCAGGAACGTTTTTGTGAGCTAAGCGGATACATTATTGGACATTGTTTTTTAAGTAATTTATAAAGTGTGCTGTTGCCTCAAGCAAACAAATCCGAGCTGCCAACCTGCTCAAAGTAATGGCAACAATCGCTAATATGCTTATGTAAAAACTATCGATAGCTATCGCCGTTGCTAGTATTGCATACTTATGAGTGCCAGAACAAAATCGATTCGCATTCTGTTATACAATTGTAGGAAACATTTGTAATGCTCACAACAGCTGTTTCGGCAGTCGGCACGACGCACGTGCCGCGCATTTTAAAGCACGCAGGAGGCGACGGCAATCGCTTGACTCAGCAGCGTTCGAAACTGAATTGATTTAAGTCGTTGTTTCTTTGTTTTGCTGCTTCCTCCCGAAATCAGGTCACTTCACTGTTTGTTCTCTCTGGAGTAGACGTGTGTGTACATGCCTACATCTCCATGCATGTTTTCATGTATGGGATCCGGTTTTGGACATGCTGACATTTGTAGACCCTTATTAAAACGTTTCCCAACAAAAGTGACTTAAAAAATCAAGTTAAGTTATTAGCCCTGACAAAGCACTCAATATATTTGCACTTGTAGTTCAGTAGTTTTTGGAATTTATTTAAATGTATTCTCTATGTATGTGTTACAAAGCATATTTCAAAGCACGCATACCCTAATGTCTGCAGCGCATTGATTCTCTGCATACTTTGTATGCAGGAGCTGCGTACAGTGGCAATAAAATTGCAATTAATTTTTATTGACAACTCTGAACTCTTGTTACAACGTTTTTTTGTTGATCTTTTAGCGATTTCACCGGCGCAATTCGGAGAGCGTTTTGCTGGTGCTCAACGAGCGCGGTTAAGAAATAAAAGATACTACATATGTTATTTGTTGAAAATTTAATTAAAAAGGGATCCGAAAAACATTTCTTCTGTATGATTAATTTGGTAGTTCTTAGCAGTTAACCAAATAAGTTAAACTAAATATTTGAATTCAGGAAAGCTTTGGATATTAGCATTATCCTTTTAACGGATTTTCCCAAACCTACGTCAAAAAGACCACCCAAAGAAAGACCTACTTATGTAATACAATCCAAATAATACAAATTCTGTTACGATTTACGACTGTTGAACTTCGAGCGTACAATAAAAACGAAATAAATAAATAAATCTATGACTGAAAAAGAAATCAGTTTACAATAAAAGCTGGCCCCAGCATTTACAAACAATGAAATTCAATGCAATAATTCAATATTCAATTGAATTTTAAGCACGCCTTAGATCGCGCAGAGCCTCCTTCTTGGATCTGTGAAACTAGAAACTGACGGTCAGACTCCCTGACGGCAATCCATCTCTGCTTGTCTGCCGCGCACGCGCACAGGCCGAGATGTATCTGAGTCATATGAACAAACAGATACAGATACAAGCGCGTGTGTAAGAGGGAATTGGCCTCAAAAATGACGGGGCAAAGAAAAGTGGGGTGGATTATGAGAGCAAATAAAGAGCACATAAGTGACATAGGCGTTTGTCGGCTAGTACTTAACGTAGAAAAAAAATGACAAGACTGCTTGACCTGAACATACCCTGTATCTAGATTTAAGCTAAGCCACTCATACATTTTTTTTTTTTACAATTGCCACTAAATTTGTAGAACCCTGCTACGATTATCTTAGACGGTTTTAAAAAACGATGAAATGTTGTTTATACTTTATCAAACTGCATCAGGTCTAGCTTTTAGCTCGATGTCTGTTTATTTGCCAAATCTTCCACTTCGAACAATTGTTGATCACAATCAGCGACATCAATAAAATCATTGGGAAAGTATCTCCAACAGGCATCTTCAACACACGCACACACTTCGGCCAACTCGCTCACATTCGCTTTGCTTTAATGCATAAATGCATCTTAAAGGCAGGCTCAGGACGGAACCACTCCGGACCCAGACGGACTATAGTCTGGTTGCACGTTATGTATTTGTTGCCGCTGCTGTTGCTTCTGTTTGGTCGCTGCTAATTGTGCGTGTGTCGTGGATTATGTTCGGCTTTTGGTATCTCACTTTGTCGTTGTTACTCTCGGGGGGCGTGTTTCTACATAGACAAAGCCAGCAAATCGATGAATGTGTGAATGCTTAAATTTGTCTTCGATTTGTGTGTGTGTGTGTGTGTGTGTTCGTGTGTGTATTTCATTTGTGACTGAGCCAATCGGAAACATGTATAAATATGTGATTAACTCTAGGCATTCAATGTTTTTGATGATTTCACTTTCAGTTCGTTGCTTAAGTCATTTGATTTTCGTTTTCATTTATTTTGCTTGAATTCGATTTCGAGCCTTTGAAAAATACATATATGTATGTATATATATATATAAATATAAATACTTTCATTTAATTAACCCTTTGGCGCTTTGTAGCTTAATTTCCTTCTCCTTGTCAGTTTGTTGCTGAAGTCATGTGTCCACAGGATTGTCATAATTACATATATTTAGTCAATATCCACATAGCTGACATTTGGAAATATGTCAACCGAGTTACGTAATGAATAAGGCATCGCAACATTCGCTCAGTTTGCTGTCTTCCAAGGATTGTGATGGATATACACATAAGCGCGGGTCATGTGACAGTTGAATCGCAAATATATTAAACAATTTGCTGTAGATGGTCATGTTAAGTCTGTTCATGTGTCGATTCTCTGCAACTCTTAATACCAAACTAGATGCGGAAAATACTGGGGCCAGCTTAAGAGCCTTAAGAGGCAAAAATAAAAATATTTCAATATTGTTAGGATATCAGATAAAACATATACCGAAAAAAATACTCTTGATAGCATAATGTTAATAGCATACAGCTCTCGGCTGTTAATAACAGCTAACAGAAAAAACTTGTAGATATGATTTTCTTAATTGTTTTTTTTTTTATTATTATTATTTTTTCTTGCTGCCTTTTACATTGTGTTTGCATAACTTACATGTCTAAGAAATAAATTATTTAAAAGTAAAAAACAAACAGAGTGTCTATTATGATAAACAACATGCAAATTAAAATGAAACTTATATTTAAATAAATTAATATAAAAACACAATTAAATGACAGTCAGTTTATAAATTTGGCTAAACATTATTAATATTTAGATGTGCTTACGAGTATTTCAAATCTTGCCTACGTGCTGTAATTGAGCTAAAAACAATTTATTTGTACATACTTTCACTGGCACCAATATCAAATCTTTTGCTAATAACCAAGTGGGATTACAGAGTAACTGCGCCACAGCGTCGAACTGCCCACTTTAATATGTGAAGGCTTCCATGGCACTCTGTTGAATTCCCGGGTAATCACAAGTCCTCAACTTCCTGGATATGTGTGTGTGTGTGTGGGTCCTTAACCTGTGAGCGTCTGCGAACGTACCAGGGTCAGGTCTAGGGGCGTGGGCTTGCGTGCAAACGTGGAGGTTGAGGCGGATGGCAGGTTGGCTGATTCACTGAGTGGACTGTCTGAACTGTTCACCACGGGACTCACAGCATCCGTTCGCGATCGGAGTGATAAATCAATAGGCTCCTCCTCCGCCGGACTGGTAGCTGGAAACGGGAACAGCAGCTCCGACTTAAATTGCTCCTTGAAAAGTGGCAAGGGCGGCATACTGCTGGCCATCAGAGCTGGCGGCAGAGTGAACGGTGTGAAGGAGCTGTACAACGGCTCCGAGTGACTGCGAAAGATGTCGAGCAGCTCCTTGTGACGCCGCTGCTGCTGCTCCGCAATGTCCGCCTCAGAGCTGCCCGCATAGGCGGAGCTACTCTGTCGCATCGCCTTCCTAATTGTGCTGGTCGTGGCGCTCAGCACGCTTGTGCCATCGTCCGTGGGATCACCGGCCGAGGAGGCGCCGGAATCGCTGGGTGTGTTGCTGAGGCGGGATTCGAGCTTCAGCTGGCGGTGCTGCTGCTCGTTCAGATACTTGGCTGCTTGCAGAAATCCGGGCAGGCTGGGGGATGGCGTTGATGCCGCAGCCGGCGCCACTGCACTGCACGTCTGCAGCGCTATGCTGGGCGAGGTTGCTGCCGTAGCCGATTTGATGCAGGGATTCGTCTTGTCCTGGTAGGTTTGCCGGGCCTGGTTGCTCGCTTGCTGCAGCCGCGCCAGCTGATCCAGATTTGCATTGCTCACGCTGGAGCTGCCAGTGCCGGCGCCCCCGCCACCGCCCTGTTGCTCCTGCAGCAAACAGTGTATCTTGAACCAGTTGGAGCGGCGGCCATAGCGTGATCCGCTCTTGGACATGCCTACCAGCAGGCACTTGCGCAGCCGGCAAGCCTTGCACGCAGTTCGATTCTTCTTGTTGATGACACAGTCTCCGTTGTGCTTGCAGCCGGCAATCGCTGGGATGTTGTTGTATGTGCGGCCGAAGAAGGACTGAAACGAAGTAACAGAACGATCAGAAACTGCCATTTAAAATGTATATTTAATAAAAGCAAACTTGTAAGCCCATTGCTTGATAATCTGCTGTAAGAGAGATTTCTTTAAAATGTTTAAATATAGTTTAATATATTCCACTGCATTAAGTATTACAGTCTGAATGACAACCAGAATCAATACAGATCCTTTCTGTGAGATAGCTTGGCATCCTATATATGACGGAGTATGGACCACATCTAAAAGCTGCTATAGGAATTTTTAGAAGACATTATGGTAAACTTGGCCAGTTGCGAGCATAAATGATCACTTTACATGGGAGCGAAACCTTGAATTGTGGACTTAATTATAAATCTTTCTCCGAAACAATCAATGAGAGTCTCACATATCTGGGGGCTTTAACTTTAGATACTTCGAAGTTTATAAATATTATCGAATATTACAATAACCGTAAGATTAATTTCGTTTATAACAGAAAGAAGACTTTAACGTCTTGCTGAGTCGAATGAATCAGACTTTTTTTTTTATATTATATATATTGTTACTTTATTATAATTATTCAAATATTTCTCTATTGATAATCCATATTACTAAAATTTTTGATATCTACTCACGAACATAGGAGAAATCTAGAGTTGTTCGGCCAAAGTAGCCCTAGGGACGTACATAGGGACGTACATATGGCTGGATTTGGGGCTTCAAATATCAATTATTGTTGATAGCTTTTGCACCTGTGCACAGCTGTGATTAGAGTTCAGCAAGTGGCATAATTTCAACCAGCTCCGCGCTTCAATTACAAAATGTGCGTTAATAAATTGCCAACGGCTTTTGGGCCCCCCCTTTGATGGTGATTATGAAAAAGAGTTTCATGCACTATTTATTGTGGTTGAGAGCTTTTGTTGTGCTTATTACTTGTGTGTTGTAGTTGTTTTATTTTGTATTTTAGCAGACTCATTCGAGAGGAGCTGGGCCAATGTTGTGGCCCGACTTCTTGTTCGCATCGATGATGTTGAAGTTCATTGAGCGCCATGCTCAGCGAATAAGTTAGGTTTGATGCCCGGCCAAAGGCTGTCGCCTTTGCGCTGAGTCATCTAATATGCATGTAATTTTTATTTGATTGACTGCAGTTTACAATTGTGCTCGCCTTGAGCTCAGTGCTCTCTATACATATATATATATATATATATATATATATATACGTGTGCCCATCAGCAGTCGTGCGGTGCTGCTGTTGCTCTAAATTCGCAGAAATTTTCCCATGGCATTTGAAGGTTCCCCCATTGTCCTCGCATCTACTTAAAGTCAATTAAAAATCGATTAATCTACCGAATTGAATTTTAATTATAGCAATAATATTTGATCCCCGAAAAGTAAAAGCCAATTTCGAGACCATTTTCGCACATCTTGTGAGAGCTTTTTTTATCACACATTTCACACGATTTTTGCACTTGAAGTCTTTAACAAATATCATTAAATAGTTATTTGGTTAATTTACCTTGCAGCCCTCGCATGTAAATGCTCCAAAATGAAAACCAGCCGCTGGTTCGCCGCATACTTTGCACAGCTGGTTCATCTGAAATAGGCAAAAATAATAATTGTGTTAGTATTAGATGATTTTCTTTAAATAAATAAAACATTTTTTAATTGTTACTCTATATAGATACGAGTTAGTATCGGCTTTTCCACACTGCAAACATTACGAACGATCCATTTTACGACTATATGATCATATTCACACTTTATATATACCTATCAACCTATCCAATTTCTCATCTATAAATTTATATTTATTTTTACATATTACATATTATATTATATTATATATGCTGACATAGTCACTTACTCAGAGCACGGAGTTCAGGGATCGAGCCCCTGTGAACAAGTTAACATATGTATTCAATGGAAAATAAAAGTAAAATCTTATAAAGCCCTTGTTGTTATTGATAAACTGTTTGTCAGGCTTGAGAAGGCCCATGGCCACATACAAAGCAACTACAACAGTGAAAATACTTAATAACAACAACAACAAGAGCAATATCAAGAAGAAGAAGAAGAAGCAGCATAACCGATGACCCACTGCGTTTCTCTTTACTTTTTTTTGCCACAGGTCGTGGTTAGAAATTGAGGTATGCAGCGACCGGTTTGGGCTGGCACCATCCAAAAGACGGCAACGAAGAATACTCGATTCCTGGCCTGGTCGCACTTCCCTTGCCGGCAACTCCCCGCATGAGGATGGGTCGTGTTCACACATCTAATGTTCGTAGTTACTTGTTTTCTGTGATCATAAAGCTAAGGTCAAAACTAAAAAAAAAAAAAAAAGAACTGGAAAAATGTACAAACATTTTGCGTCAATTATTTGATCAGCGTTCAAATGTTTGGTTAGCTTGAATTTAGTATGAGAATTGCCAAATATTGTGGACGTGTCGAAAAGGAAATATTCGTGAAATATACATTCGTAATATAACAAAGGTTTCCCAATCATTCTTTTACTTATAAACTTATTCTTTTTGGGATTATATGTTATAGAACAATTTTTGGAAAAATTTTATAAAATAATTTCATTCTTAATTGTCCTTTAATTTCAGTCCACTGAAAAGTGACTGAGCTCTAAGTTATGTATGAATTCGGACTGGGTCTCTCTCAAAAGTTTTCGAGTTTCAACCAAATGGTTTTTATACCCTGAACCCATTAAAAATGGGTATAAGGGTATATTGTATTTGTGCAAAATCCAAATGTATGTAACAGGCAGAAGGAAGCATCTCCGACCCCATAAAGTGTATATATTCTTGATCAGCATCAATAGCCGAGTCGATCTAGCCATGTCCGTCTGTCCGTCCGCCCGTCCGTATCTATGAACGCAAGGATCTCAGAACTTATAAGAGCTAGAGAAATTTTAGATGTTGGTGCTCCTAGTTCTTGCGCAGATCGAGTTTGTTTCCGATAATCGATAACTTACTCCGTTTCCAAGCAATCGATAAAAATCGATATCGATATCCTGTTTTTTGGGCAATTTTGGTAAATATTAAGAGCTAGAGTCACAAAACTTGACATATAGCTTCTAAAATAGAATATGTATATGCATTTGATGTTGGAAGAAGAGGGTTTAGGGTATCCCCTAGTCGGGAGCTCCTGACTAGAACTTCTTACTTGTTTGGAATTGGTGCCTCTTAAGGACTCTACTTAGATTTTTTCGCAAAATTCGAAAACAAATTAAAAAATAAAATGAAATGTAGTGAATAAATTTTGTTAAATGGGAAATTATGAGCTGGGTAATGGTATAAACATAGCCAATACATGATCTATAATGGGCTAATCCGCGAATAGACGAAGTGTAATGGAATACAGCTTGGACAGTTTCGTAGAGGATCAAGATTATCGCTGGCACTTAGCACTTTGGATATTGGGTCGTCTTCTAAAGCTTTTCTTCTGGCACTTTGTCGAGTTTTCGCCATCCCCATCGCCATCACCATCGACACTGGCATCGCAATTCAATTTTTTACTTATTTATTTATTCGGTTTTCTGGAAAAGCGCACCGCTGTGCCTAAAATTGTCACGGTTTTGTGCGCCGGCCGCTGCCGCTGTGAAGGTGCAAATTTAATGTTTGCCAATTTAGCAGCGCTCGCTGTCACCTTTGGTGTCCATTAGTGCGCGTTTATATGCAAAGTGGCGGTCTGGCGTGTTCGCCATTATCACAGGAGCAGCATCACGCCGGGCCACCACCTGCTGGGCGCTTGCCGCAACTGCCAAGCGCTGTTTCGCCCTTCTCCTGCCCAGGCCAAGCAGTGTCAAGATATGGACACAATAACGAACTTACCGGGAATGGAAATGGGAATGGGCTCATGGTACTACGCCAACATTGCCAAGACGTGAAGTGCTTATGTCCAATGCTTGGCAATTCCTTGCTTGTACTTTATTGGGTCACAGGGCAGTATGCTCGCCGGATCTCATGTATACAACTGACAGTGCTCTAGTTCAGTATTGACCAAGCTATAATTTAAAACTATCATAAAACGATTTAAGCACTACTTAAAGCAAGAATTGGCAGTTATTCTCGCAAGCTGCGCTGTTCAAGGACCTAGCTTTTTAGTTTATATAGATAATAACTAAATCAATTGAAATATATAATTAAAAATAATTAATTACCTATAATATTGCGTCTTATTTAGATAGGAACTAGTTTAAGGGGCAAAAACGTGAAAATAACTTGTGGAATGAATTGCGCTGCACTTCCCTTTCATTAGCCTTCAAACCAAAATTAGAATTGGTTTGCCTTAGTTAGGTTTCTTCGCTTTGGCAAAAGTAGAAAAATCCTCCACATAATTAACTTGGCACATGCCACATGCTCATTGCTAATTAAAATATCTCTATTGTGAATGTTCATTTGTTCATTTCAGGAAAAAATTGTAAGAGAAATTTCCTTGTCCCTTTTAGCCAAATGTTAATTACTTTTATTACGAGAAATGCTTTGATCTTAAACTTTAACTTTTTGAATGCCTCAACTTGTGCAATCTTCCCAGTAAAAAGTTTTATGCTGCAATGGATTTGTGTAGCCATTAAATCGAATGGTAGATAAAGAACGATGTCCGGACAAAATGACATAGTTTAGCTGTCGATTGCAGTCAAAGTTTCGAGTACCTTCAACTAGATTCATATACAAGTTTTCCGTCTTTTCCTTCGCTGTACGCTGAGAGAGAGAACAGAAGCAAACCGAATCTCATTCAATTGGGTAACAATGAAAACAAGATCAGTTGGAGGTATCTACACATTTTCAACAAGCTCATCAACTAGCCGTTGACAGAGCGGGCCAAACAGAAAAGATATTCAGCAATAAGCATGGCAAAGAATAATAAACAAAAAAGTGTCCTTTAAAGCAAACAAAATGTTCTACACTACAAATCAGATAAAAGGGCATTTACCTAAAAGCAAGACGAAGAGTCTTTTTTTCTTAAAGGTGTTTTAAAAAAGGTGTTCAAACAGGCAAACCACGATTGTTGAAAATATTTTGCAGCAGATACAAAATAGAACAAGACGAGCCAAGCCAAGCAGGCAAACAGGAGCACATCCAATACGAGCTCAAACTCAAATATCGGTGACATACACACACACACACACACACACACACACACACACAAGCACACTCACACACAGACAGAGAACACAAAATGGACTACAATAAACAATTGCCCATAATATGCTTTATTATTAGCCTCTGCCAAAAGACATCGCAATATGCAAATCCATTCACCAGAGTCACACGCTCTAGTTTGAATTGTTCGCTTCCTGACTGTCAGCCGCTTCCCCCTGCCTCTTGCCCCTGCCGCCTGCCCCCTGCCGCACGGCTCTCATCCTTCCAAACAGCTTCCTTTAGCCCTTTTCTGCTTGATTGCCAGCAGCAGCAGCAGCAGTCAGACAATCAAATGCTTGAATATCTTCAAGTTTTCAACTCTCGTCGTCGCCCTATTGTAATAATTTCTTGACACTTATCGCACAAAAGGCAATAACATAATTAATGAGCATGTCAATGAGCGTCCTTTGTTTTCAGTTTTGCTTCCTAAATGTAGTCGCTTAGCTAATCCCATGAGCATGACACGGAGGTATGTGCCAGCAAGTGCCAGACTATATAGATCTGATAGACTGGTATCCTTTAGATATTGATACTTATGTGTTATAAGAGTTTACGAGGCCAGCTGGAGATTTGATTGATAGGCACATTTATGTTCTTTCATAACGAGCTAATAATAAAGTTCTAAGTATGTATTCACAGAATTTGCATTATTCATATTTAATGACATCGCTGGAGATCTAATGCATTTTATTACATTTTAATAGCAGCATTGACTAACTAACGATAAATCAGTTAAATGTCAACTCTTAAATATTCAAATTAACGATTTAGTAATGATGAATATAAACACCAAACCCATGCAAGAAATAACCATATACATATCACACTATTAGTTATATGTTAAACCTTTTCGATTTCGCAAAGTATATAAATTATAAATATTTTCATATTTATCTGCTGGCTTATGCATAAATATTCCAATTTGGCTGCACTCACCTTTTCACAATATTCTTATGCAGCTAACTGCATAAATTCTTAGGCTGAAATTGATTTTCAGATCTAACTTTAGATTTTAGCTTTTACACAAAACACACACTTTTTATATTCGTTGCACAAATCTTTAGGCGATATTTCTATTTATATATTTTTCGCATTATTTTTCATTTATTTTTGCCAATTTAGCGACGGCTTTGCACAAACTCACGAGCGAGCTCACAAAGTCGTGAGCAATCACGCGGCGAACATTCCCGATGAGCGCGACTTATCGCGTGCTATAATCCTCACGTGTGTTAATTTCAAGTAGCGATATTCTGCAGCCTTGCGATGCTTTGCAGCGTAGCGCCCATCCGAGACTAAATCGTCATCATCGTTCTGAGCTCCAACCAACCGACTGACTGGCCCTGGCCTCAAAGATCATCAGCAGCAGCAACAGCAGCATTTGAAGTCGCGCGCGCACGCGTCTTCGGTAAGCGTGTGTGTGTGCCTGTGTGTGTATGGCTGTTTAGGT